CATGAGGTGCCTTCCTTTGTATTTTAGTGGACAAGTGCACAGAGGAGATAGGGAGGATAAAGTGATCCAAGTAGTGACCGATATGTACTAAGCCAATATGGTGGTCACTAGGTTGTTGATGGAGAGAAGGCCATGTATTTTCTGGTCGCCATGTGCAACACACTGCGTAGACCTCTTGCTTGAGGCGATTGGTAAGAGGAAATCAATAAGAACAACCATCAAAAATATCAAAGACTGTCACAATCTATTTATACAATCACATTCAAGTAAGAACAAGAATTTTATATTGTCTATGCTTTCTTGTTACCCATTTTGATTCTTTAGAATACATACATGTTATGTGATGTCATTGTAAGTTTGTAATTTAGGAAATTTTATGTTAATCAGGTCTTAGCCATGATGAGGTAGTTCACTGAAGGTATAGACTTGGTGAGGCCTAGGGTGATTTTAATTTGCCACCTCCTACTTGTCCTTGAAATCTTTATATGATTAAAAGGAAAAACTGAGGTTAATGTTTGTATCTAAGGATTGGACCAAGTCCAAGTGGGCCAAGGAATCAAATCGAAAAGTAGCATTGGAGATTGTCATGGACTCACGAATTTGGAATAGGGTTCAGTATTGCCCTATATGTTGTTCACCCATTAGGAAAAGTACTCAAGATGGTTGATGCTCAGAAGGAACCAGCTATGGGTCATATAATAAAGCTATGGTGGACGCAAAGGAAAAATTCAAGAGATTTTTGGGAATGATGACAAAAAGCATGGGGAATATTTGAACATCATTGAGAATAAATGAAACTACCAACTTAAGAGGCTCCTACACTCAATAGGGTACTACCTTAACCCTACTCACTTTTATAGTGATCATGAGGTCCATAGCAAGACTAAATTCATGGAAGCATTCAACCAATGCAATATGAAACTCAACTCTGATCCCGAAGTCTAGGACAAGTTAATGATGGAGTTAGAAAAGTATATGCTCTCCAATGGGTCTCTTGGTAAGGAGTTAGCAATAAGGCAGAGGACCGAGATCTCTCCTGGTGACTTTAGAACTTCTTCATTTTGATTTCATGACTTGAGCATAAATTTCAATTACACAGAAACCTCATTTAATGTATTTACATTCAATAGTTGTATAGTGGATGAGCCATGGGGGAAGCACCCCAAATTTGTGACAGATGGCCATGTGTATACTCAATCTAACTTGTAGCTCATCAGGATCTGTGTGCAACTTCAGCACTTTTTTTTTTTTAAAATAAATTTCAGCTCGTTTGAAATGGTAATATTACTTAATACTTACATAGTAGTTAACAATGTTCGCAAAATCGAACCTGAACGGATAACCGGACATGGGGCCAGAAGCGGTTTAACCGACCTAACCGATAAACCGACTGATTCAACCGTTCTAACTGGGCAAGTCCCGAGCGGTCAAAAAATTGTTGAAAAAATTAAAAAAAATTACAAAAAAAATCTACTAAAATATGAAAAGCATATAAAGAATGATTAGAACAAAACACATTTAAATGAAGTTGAAAATTAATGAAAACCATGGATTTTAAAGAATTGATTTATGCTTAGGGTATTTTTAAAATTTTCCAAAAAAATGGGAAAATATAAAAGCGAGTGTTAATGACCAAAACAATTTTTAATATTTACCATAATGTAAAGAATATTAAAAAGTGTATTACAAACCAAATTCCTTATTTTTGGGATTTTATATACATTTTTTTGAATTTTTTTTGTTTTTAAATACCTATCGATCACCAAAACCGCCCGAAAACAAAACCGGCAAGGGGTCGGTTCCCATCTAACCAGGCGGTACCAGTTTGATCGCCCGGTTTTTCTAACATTGGTAGTTAGTTAGTTTATTAGGTTAACCACTTAACCTATATTATGTTTTCTAAATTTTAATTGTTCATTCAAATTTTATCTAATAGGTGCATACAAAGAAAAGGAACAAACTTGAGCAAAAGAGAGTGAATGACCTAGTTGCCGGTTCCGATTTCGGGAAAAGGAGAAGGGCAAGAGGTCGCCGGTATTGAGAGAGGGAAGGGGAAGGGGAAGGCAAAGGAGAAGGGGAAGAGGTCGATGGTATTGAGAGAGGAGGATGAAGCAGATTCAGAAGAGACGAGGCCTGATGCTTAGTGTGTTGAGGAGAGCGATGACTCTGATAATGATGGCATGGCATCATCATTATCAGATTCTTCTCAAGATGGACAACTTGAACACCCTGAGTAGTGATGACCGATGACTGATGAGTGATGAGAGATGACATAGAGTTCAGTTGACATTTTAAGTTTTGGAGTGGAGATGAGTGATGACTGATGCATAACAAACTTGTTTTTGCGGATTTGATTTTTGATAGTTCACTTGTTTCTAAAATGACATTTGAGTATTGATGCAATTTGATGAATGACGATATTCGTGTCTTACAATCTCACTGTCTCTATAATTTTTTATTTTTGTCTCCAAGGGCTTTGCAGCTCTAAAAATTGCCGAGTTGGGGGGGAGAGTGTTTCTTGCGTCCTTGTTCCTGTGTGCCCGCCAACGAGACCCCCAAACAGCCTAGGCGGTCGCCTACGACTTCTTGAACATTCGTTAGAAATTAGAAGGAAAAATTTTGATAAAGACTTCTCAGAATGTTGAGCTTTTTCGGCACACAAAGCATCAAAAAACAGAAGCAAGATAACCTCATGTTTCCCCAGAGCAACATCAAATTGACAATCAGAGTCCCGCATAGCAATTTGGGGAGGATATTATCTTAAAGTTCATTAGAGATATATTTGGCAATCAGCTCTCATCTTTTAAACTGCTTTTACAGTTTTACTAGATATCCATAGTTTCTCAGGGTTCAGCAGAATTTTCAAGTAAATCAAGCGGAATGACCAATATGCTCAAATTATGCAAGCATCACAATGCAGCATAAAAGCAACAAGTATCATTTCATGCCAGGTCCGCGACCACCTTTATTTTTTGATAATTTCAGTATAGGATTAGGCAAGTCAGCTTAAAATTTAGAATTAGACAGCACAATGTCATGGGGCTGCAATGAACTCCCGGTCCCATCTGTTAAGGCTGCCAATGGACAGTGCCGGGCTTCGGGCCTCTGGGCCTGGCCTGGTTTCGGGCCACTGTTGGGCCTAGTTTCATGCCACTATCGGGCTCCAGGCCGGGCTGGACAGGCCAGAGGGAATGTAAACAGATTTTTGGGCGGGCCAGCCTGGAAAATACCTTAAGTACTTAAGGTAACCCCCCCCCCCCTCCCCTCTCTCAACCCTAACTTCCATTTCTCTCTCTGCTCTCACGCCTCTCTAACTCCCTCTTGCCACTCTGCTCTCTCTCTAAACCCCCTCTCTCTCCTCTCTCACCTGGCTCTCTTCCTCACTCTTCTCTCTCTCTCTCTCTCAATGAGAAAAACCATTGATTCTCTCTCTCTATCTCAATGTGAAAACCCATTGATTCAAAGGCTACAAAAGAAGAAGCCCTCTGGTGTAACAGATAGAAGGGTAAGACCCTGCCCATTGTGCTTCTTCTCAGGCTTCCTCATCAGATTGCAGGCACCATCCTGTGTTTCTTCTCACGCTTCCTCATCAGATTGCAGGCACCATCATGTGCTTCTTCTCAGGCTTCCTCATTAGATTGCAGGCACCGTCCTCATCAGATTGCAGGCACCATCCTGTGCTTCTTCTCAGGCTTCTTAAGTAGAGAGATGAGGCTTTGGAGCTGGTTCTTTATTTGCTGAAGAGATCATCCTAAGTAGAGAGAGAAAATACTTCCCCCATCTTTTTCAATAAGGCAGGTACAGAGCTTGCTCTCTCTATGGTTTCAGAGGAGGCTTTGATAGTGGTTTTTGAGGATTTGCAAGGGGCTTTGTCGGTGGGTTTCTCAAGGATTAATGTGGTGGTTTTAATAGTGATTTTCGGGTGATTTTGTATAGGTTTTATGGTAGTTCTCAAATGATTTTGTGTGGGTTTTCTGGTGGTTTTCTAGAGAATATTTTGGGCCCTTATGGTGGTTCTATGCTCTGCGAAGGGGTTTTCTCTGCCCTTAACAAGGGGATTTCCTCTCTCTAGAGGGGCTTTTTGGTGCTTCTCTCTCTAGAGGGCCTTTTGGGTGAGGTTCTCCCTTTAGAGAGATTTTGTGAGCTTTTCTCTCAAATCTTAAGTCGGTCAGTAAAAGTGTTTTCATGGAGGCTATCTCTTCTTGTTATTTGTTGGTTAATTCTTGGATCCTTTTTAAATTTTAATTTTTTAAAAAAAATTGCAAAAAAAATTACTTTTTTAATAATGGACGGGCCAGGCCCAATAAGCCTAATGGGCCGGGCCATGCCCAATAAGTCTAATGGGCCGGGTCAGACCCAATAAGCCTAATGGGATGGGCCGGATCGGGCCCAATAAGGCAGGGCCATGCCCAATAAGCCTAATGGGCTTTTCTGTGATGGGCTGGCGAAAAATAATTTGCAAAATTTGTTTTCCCTACAAGAAAAGTAGAAGACACGTTTTTTGTAAAAAAAAATGGGCAGGGCCCGGCGAGGCTCAATAAGCCTAATGGGGTGGGCCGATCTTTCAGTAAAGTTCCGGGCCTTAACGGGTCATTCTGGGCTTCCGGGCCTTTAATGGGCAAGCCTTACCGGGCATAACTCTGGACAGGGCCTCACAGCGCATGACAAAATCGAGTCCGGGCTTCAGGCCAGGCCCTGCCCGTTGGCAGCCCTACCAACTGTATCACCATTCAAAAGCAACTCCGTAATCAAATAAAATCCCAAAAAATACATTTTCAACACCTATATCATAAGTTAACCAACGTTTCTTCCATTTTATGGCAATTGCACTACATACCATGAGAGGTTAGTTTACAGGCAATCAGTAAACAATAGCACAATATGGATATGAAACAATGAACTGCATATGATCTAACAAATTTCCTGAACTGAAATTTTGAGAAATAATGAAAGAGGCATTAGAACAAAATTAGCTTGAAATAACAAAACATCTACCATACCACTCCTAATGGGTCGTCATGGTTGCCATGAATACTGAATACTGGGAGGCCAACATTATAATGAGGATCCTCATAGTTTACATGACCAAATCTGAAGATATAAGACAAAACATAGATTTTTAACATAAAAAATATAATCAAATATAAGAGCATCACACTTGATCTTCAACAAATAAATGATTAATCATAATTGTCTACATTGATAAGAACTCATAACTCCAAGGACAGATATCTATTCCATTGAATAGAACTAAATATATTTAGAAAGAAACCTAGGAATAAATAAAACAAACAATTCACAAGTAACAAATGTTGAGACAGGATCACAAATTACATACACAGAATATATCCGTTTGAAGAACAACATTAGACTAATGAAATCTATTGCAGATTGGATTGACTAAAAAGTTACGGGAGTGTACGTGTTTAAGAAGTTTACTGTCTGATCACTAACAACTTGGAACTGCACAGGTCGGTCATTGAGGCAATAGCGACGCAGGATCTCAATAGCTCTCACGAGAGTGGTTCTTGAAGGCTTGTTTTCATGAAAAAGATCACCCCCAAGGAGTAAGTAGTCTACCTGCAACACATAACCAAACATCATACCCTGATATCCATACAGGAAAAATGAAAAACTTCAGATGGTGAGTTTAATAGTTACTACTTTGAAGTTACTAGCAAAAATTACATAAACAAGAAGGCAAGAATCAATGCATATAAAGATCATCTTAATAAGGAATATGTGCATGTGTGTACACAAGCATGATATCATCATAGCCATTGAAAGAACCAAACAAGTTCAGTAAACAATCAGGAAATGGGTGCAGGAACATGCAACATTAAAAAAACAATACAGTTAACAAATAGGCAAAACATACAGATTCAAAAACAATCAAGTGAAACATATGGCACATGCATGGAAAATTACGGATAAACATGGGACAAACATGAGCAAAGTACAAGGGATACATAAAGGGTGCAGGGGATACATAAAGGGTGCAGGGGAAACATAAAAGCACAAGAAGTAACCATGCCGCATCCAATGGGAACAATCTACCATGGGACACACTCAGTGCCTGCAGCCAAGGCATAAACAAGTTCATGTATTTCTGAATAAACCAAGATAAAACAAGTGAAATTTTACACGAGCAGCAATGACCATCATAGTGTTTTAAGCATGCATTAATCACAAACAATGCTGTATACATGCCAAACACAAAGGAGAATGTGACCAGATCTGTGTATATGAACAGAGTTAGACCCTCTGACAGAGTAAGATACGCATACACCAAATGAAACCCAAAGCAAAACCACTCTCGCTAGCATGAGGTCCTTCCAAGTCCAACATATATAGGGAATACATATATTACAGGAAAACCAATCTCTACTTGACTAGTCAACTAAACCAGACTAGATATGGATGAAAGGGTAAAAACTAGATGGCCTTTTTTGATGACAGTATACATGTGGTGTGTCAACTAAAATATTGAACAACTGTACATGAATTGTTCGTTCTCCATTAAATTTAAATGATTAAATCATTAGTTTTTGTGCAAATGTAAACCAAACACGAAGTTAACAAATTTTGCTTGCATCTGTATTCACAAAAGGCAGGTTACATTTCCCCTCAATAGAAATAATTTATGCATCCATAACCACAAGATTGTATAGCTCTGTTAAATTTAAATGATTAAATCATTAGTTTTTGTGCAAATGTAAACCAAACACGAAGATGACAAATTTTGTATGCATCTGTATTCACAAAAGGCAGGTTACATTTCCCCCCGATACAAATAATTTATTCATCCATAATCACAAGATTGTATAGTTCCAATAAATAAAGTTCCCAGAACATTTTAACTATCCAACACTAATTCATAAAATGAAATAAAAAATAACTTACATGCACCATTTTGTTAATTTTTTCTTCTCCACCGTTTATAAGTAAAATAACCTAGATGTTGTCATTAAGAATGGAGGTTTTTTCCTTTTTTGTGATGCTAGCATATGGATGCATTTGATCAGCTCCACAAATGACTTCAGAGAGCTTGTAATGCTAGATTAAGATGCCACCATGCCCTAACAATTGCTAAAATAATAATAGTAAAATAACCCAAAATAAATACACGTACAGTCAAGAGTTTCAGGTATATATAAAACTATAAATCGCAATAGAATAGATTATGCAAAGAATATAAAACCACAAGAAGGTCCTCGATTCCATATGCGACAAACTGAAGCTAAACTTCATTTTACCAAGTAAACATGTTTTATCTATGATTCTCATCTTGTTAGTAGGCTTAAGTACAAAGGCCATACATGAACAGTACCCAAAGTCCCAAACTGCCAGTAGTGACCTTATAAAGAAGAGCTACTGTAACAAGACGTGCCCACTCAAGCCCAATGAGAGAGTTAAGCAGTTCGTCTTATTTATTTTGACTCTTGTACATCTAATTGCTCAGTATTGAGAAGTGTATATAGCATAAATATAATGAAGGAAGCTGCATTGAGCATCTTGTCCCACTAAAAAGGTTTGTCAACAGATATTTACTGAGATCACAAAAGATAAGCCAGTCAATCTAACTTTTAACAGTTTTTATTGTTCCAAAGCTAAACTAGTCCCACATGTTCTGGGAGATGTTTCATTTCAGACGACAACAACGACATTTACACAGAAAATCTAAGCAAATAATGTCACTTCTAGTTTAAGAAGAAGCAAAATTTAGATGTATTATAGAAAATCATCACCCAGATGAGTACATCTTATCATCATACAAAATTTAACAGATTGTTTCACAACAGATGCAATATGAGAAACTGTCTTTATAACCTATTATCATAACCTATGACCTTTGCATGAATGCTGAGTTTCTTCAGGTACAACAGACTAATATAAGACATAAAAATATATGAGAAATTCATATAATTTAACCAATACAATGAAGTTCACTCTTACTTGTTTCTGCTCCGCTATTGAGCATATCTCCTCAAAGGCCTGAAAGGAATCAAGTCGACGTATTTCATCCTTTTCCATATAACCAAGGTGGCAGTCTGTTGCAACAAGAATTCGAAGTGTATTGCTGAAATCCTCTCTGCAATGTTTTGGAGAGTCAGTAAAGACACAAAATCGGTGACATGGAGAATAACAGCTAAATCATTTCTTATCCAGTCCTCAACAAGTACTAGATCCGTAATGAAAAGCTTCATAGAGTTGTATAGAAGGCAAGAAAAAGGATAAACAATTCCAAGGATCTTACCAGAGCATTTGAAAAAACTACAAGGGGATTATCATAGCTCTGAGACCAGGGAAGAACATATTGCATCTCAAGAGATACCTTACCTGGCCTGGCATAATTTACAAATCCTAAGATACAAGGAATTACAGGAGAGACATGCATAAGGTAGCCAATATTCTTTGGTCAGAACAAAATAAAAGGGAGGATGTGCATGTCGCACATGGTAACCTAAAAATACACTACCCACAACATTCCAGGTTTGATTAAACAGGGCTTTCCTCAACAACATTCTGGTTCATATAGCTCAACATGGAAAGCTGTGGTATAAGCCAGATTGAATTAATTGGTGAGCTGAAAAATATTTGAGAATTTGCGCATTTTAAATTAAGATTATACCTCTCACAATTTTAGGTGTAACTTATAGGTGACCTTACCATGTAATCTTACTTCTAGCAGTTTGATCCAAAAGCAACAGTCAGCATTTATCATGAAAAAGTAAAGGAACTCAATCAGCAAAAATATGAAATCTCTTTGAACAAATTTTATGAAAAATACAAGATAATTGAAAAATATTTCCTTTTCAGACCTTTTCATCAATTAACAAAAAGGGAAAGAAGATTATAAAACTTTGCAGTGCTGAAAATTGTGCCAGGAACCATTAAAGAATAATGACAAAGGCACGATCATGAACAAATATTCCTAGGCAATTATACTAACAACCCCTAAAGTTGAAAGACCAGGAGCTAATTCTCATAAATGTCACCTTCAATATCCAATCCCCCAAAACAGAGTTATGATATCGGCTCGGGTCTCATACTTGGCCCTGACTCGAGCTGAGTAACTCCCTTAAGTCCAAGTGGACTCGGCCAAGCCGAGTCCTGCACAAGAGCAAAAGATGCTCATAAGCTCAAAAAGAAATTGTTCAAATAACTAAAAATCAGCAAAGATTAAAATTAGATGAGCAACCCCACCCCCCCCCCCCCTTCCTCTTTTTTTTTTGTTGTACGCAATTGCCCACCTGTCCGGCAATGTCAACATTAGAAAGGAGGGAGAGGAGCCAAGAAAACTAGAGAAGAGAGAGAATAACTATTTACACCCGTAGGAGTACACTATCTATTTTGTCCATCAGGCAAAATACATGCCATGGATACATTTTAGATCTCAAAGTTTGGGGATATAATCTCTATAAGCCATAGACTAATCTTAGCAAATAAATTTTTCGAAATAAAATATCTATGTACTAGAAAAAAATAATGCCTCAAGATTGAATAGAGACCGTCCAAATTTTGAATGGCTAAATCTGTGTTACAAAGCTCAAAATTCAAAATTTTCTTTTAAAAAAATCGTATAATTGTTATATAGTTCCCAATATTTTAGACAAAACAAATCAAAGTAGCTAGGTGTTTTGGCCGATGGAGTAATGCACAGTATTGCTCTTGCAGAAGTACGTTGTACGCACTCTATAAAAAAACTTTGAAAACATGTGTTATATCCCTCCTATCCGGTGTTCTCATCACCACACAGGTGCGTAGTTGTGAAGAAAAAAAGGGCTGCCGAGGGAGAGGGTGCTCATCATAATTTTGCAAAAAAGAGTTCTCATTTGGTAACAAAGGGGTGGAAATAGTGTTTATGCGTAATTTTCTCAAATAAATAGTAGAAACTATTAAAAGGCTATAAAAGATAACAGAAGTACATAAAAGATAGATTTTAGAAAATTTTCATTTAGACCCTTGAAATATTCCAAAAAATCAAAAAAGGGAAAATAGATAAAATAGACCATGCAATGAGAAAATTTCCCAAATCATTATAAAAACCATAAAAATCACAACAAAAATGTGTTTCTTGATCATACTATAGTGTTTTCTTTTTACTTCTTTAACTTGGTGAGTTGTTCACCACAACTCGCCTTGACCATAGGCCGAGGTTGAGTACGTGAAAACTGCCCCTACTTGGGGAAGTCAGCTAATCAACTTCCTTGTACATTACAATGGACATTTCTTTCCCTATTGAATAATATTTGATGTTTAGACAAAGATTTAGATTTGTGGTCATTAAAATGGCTTAAAAGGTTCAAACAAGATGAGGAGATGTAACTTGTGCACATCATAATACTCCACAGACTTCTGCATAGATTCATCTACAAAAACATTTTCCATTTGTTCTTTCTGTTAACAAGCTCCATGTTTTATTTGACCAAGAGGTTTGTTTCCCAAGTTCCGAAATGGCGTCAACACAAAATTAGAACTTTAGATTGATGCTCTAGAATCTAAAAGTTTTAGAACTAGCCTTATTAAGACAGAATATATGGAGTGCAAGTTTAGTAATAATAGGAGTAGAGACGAGGAAGTAGTGAAGATTGACGACCAATAAATACCAAAGGGAGTAAACTTTCGATATCTTGGGTCAATAATCCAGAAAAATGAATAAATTGAAGAAGATGTCGAACGTAGAATTGAGTAGGGTGGGCACAGTGGAGATATGCAACCGGAGTTTTATGTGATCGCCACATGCCAATGAAGTTGAAAGGCAAGTTTTATAAGACAGTTGTGTGACCAGCTTTGCTTTATGGGGCAGAATGTTGGGCGGTCAAGAAACAGCAACCCATAGAATGAGTGTAGCTGAGATGAGGATATTGAGATGGATAAGTGGCAAGACAGAAAGAAGTAGTATTCAAAATGAATATATTTGGGAGAATTTAGGTGTGGCACTAATTGGCAATAAGACGAAAAAAAATAGTAGACTTAAGTGGGTTGGCCATATACTGAGCAGACCTAGTACAATATCATTAGAAGGTACGAGTTAGTTCACGTGGAAGGCTCAAAAAGAGCAAAAGGTGGGCCCAAAAAGACACGGTTAGAAGTATTGAGAAAAAATTCCCCATATGGTCACAAAAGGTATGGCCCTTAATGGTGCATGGTAGGCTAGGATTCGTGTAGCAGACCCCAATTAATTGAGAAAAGGCTCTGACAATGATGATGATCAGTTTTCCAAGTTAGACATTTATCCTTTCTTCCTCCCGCCCAATATCCAGCCAAATAAATAACATAAATAAACAAGTTATTTTCAGATAAAGATGTGATGCTACATGTGCACTGGAAACCTCAAGAATATCTGGCCATGACATGATTGCACATGAACCAGAATAGAGTCGTTTAGCTCAGTAAACTAAATATTATTGTTTCATAAAATAACAACCAAAGAGTGCATGCTTAACAACAAGAATCAGTACCTTGATGAATCTTCCGTCATAGTGATATACCTAGCAAACAAGGAACAGCTTAATTGATGATACAATTCAGACAAAAACTGAAAAGAACAATTATTAATGCATAACCGCTTAATTTCATGGTTTTCAGGCACATTTATATGGAGAACGGATGTTTCGAAACCTAGTAAAACCTAGAATGCTTGCTCAAAGAAGTAAATGAACTAAATTGAGCAAAACTTAGGTTTCACAGAACTAAATTGAGCAAAACTTAGGTTTCACAGTTTAAAGCAGAGAAATACACAGGGCTAGCTCAAAGAACTAAATAAATAAATAATCCCTGACACCTCAAGAAAAATGCAAAAAATTTTATATGATTCTGTATGCGGGTTATGCAGGATCACATATCGAATTCCAGAAGATCGCTAGAAGGAAAACCCCCAACCTTTAGTCCTGGACTAGCTTTGCGAAAGCAAAAGGAAACCTAGGAAATATGCAATTATTTGGGATTTCGATAAATTATTTGAGGAAAAGGAACAAAAATGATTCAATTAGTGATGGAGAAGAAGAAAAAGAATCTGAGCACACAAGAATCTATAGGTTGAGAGAGACCTATACTTGGAGAAGAGAGTAAGAGAGGGAGAGTACCGTTAAGTTTACAAAGAAGGCGCGAAGGCGAGCTCAAAGATCAGTCACGCAAGAGAGAGAGCACCATTAAGTGTACATAGAAGCGCGAAAGGGAGCTCGAAGACTAGTGATGAAGGAGAGAGAACACTAGCTCGGGGGTTTTCGGGTTTTTCGTGCTTGCCGCGGGAAATATGAATGCCCGGATGAGAGAGATCGTTCCGAAGATGACTAAAATGCGCCTTGCTAATTAAATAGCAAAGAAACTACCTCAATCTACGTCCTGTTTGAATGTGCCAATAAGTCCCTGAGTAGGTGGGGCACGTTGGAGACGGAGACAAATCTTCCTGTTTCAAACAAAACTTAGGGGTACCTTTTTGCTCATAAAAATGGTAAAAGTTTATATACGGATGCAACCTTTTAATGTAGAACTACAGAAAAGGTAGTTTTAATAGTGAAAAACCCTTTGATTGATCATCTCGACATCGAGATGTACGATTATGAAAAAATAAAAAGATTTTAAGTCTCAAAAATAGTGCATTTTACAGCATATTATCTACATCGTCCATTTTCGAGATTTTCATATTTTTATAGATTTACTTGATTTTAACCATTTTTTAAATTTAAAATTTTATAATATATATAAAAATTTTATAAGATAATCCTATGACAATTTTACATCAAAATTATATACCATGATCAAATTTGAAGGTGCATCTTACCTCTACAGCTACGGATGCATCCATATGCCAACTGCACCCAAAAAAGTTTAACACTATTTTACAAACCTGTGAAATTTTCAGCTTGTGCACCATTTATGGATTCACAATTGCACTTGAGGGCACATTTTGTGGAAACGAAAAACAATCCACGAAAAACAAGAAAGAAGAAACAAACACAAAAGAAAGAGACAATCAACCACAACGTAAAGATATACATTGTTCGGCAACACGCCTACGTCCGCGGGAGATTAGAGCTTCTTTACTGGTAATGACGACTAGGGTTACAATTCGCTCTCGTTCTCATAGCTCTCTTTTTTTATCTTAATCTAATTACAAAGAGATATGTGTTTTGCCCTTAACCCTTAACTTTTGGATGAACCCCCAAACGCAACGATATATATCGAGTCCCAGATAGATGATACAAATTACCTAAATACCTTTATACGGATATATATATCGAATCTCATGTACGGATATATCTGAACCTTGGTATATATATTTCCTCATAATATAAGACATCAATCATCAACAATCTCCACTTTTGCTTGAATTTTGTCGAGCCACCCTGAAGATGTCTTCATCCCCGTACCTCCATAAAGGTACGCTCCTGCACCCCCACCTGCTATGGGGTGCTTCCCTCACTCTCAACAATGAGAGACATTAAACAAGTCCAAGCAAAGCTTGAACTTCTCCGTGGTGACCGGCTTTGTAAGCATATCTACAGGGTTGTCATTCGTATGAATTTTTTTCAAGTGAAATATTCTTTCTGACACAAGCTCCATAATCTTGTGATATCTCATATCAATGTGTTTTGTCCTTGTATGAAGCACTTGATTCGTTATAAAATTTATGGCACTCTGACTATCACAATGCAACATAGTACCTTCTTGCTCCACCCCCAACTCACAAGCCAAACCAGTCGACCAGATCGCTTCTTTTGCAGCCTCGCATGTACTCTGCCTCTATCATAGACAAGGCAATCGTGGGTTGAAGCATTGCCTTCCATGAAATAGATTCACCTGCTAGTGTGAAGGCATATCCTATAGTAGGTATCCCACCAGTTCTGTAGAGCTTATTTTCCTGCTGAACATAATTTCGAAATCTGACATCTCGCTCGTATATCTGAAAATCCACTTAATAGCATTACAATGTCCCTTCCAGGATTACTCATGTATCGACTGACAATACTGACAACATAAGATAAATCCGACCTGTCAAACCATAACATAGAAGAGGCTTCCGACTGCGCTAGCATAGGGCACTAAAGACATTTGCTCTATCTTCTCATCTGTAGTGAGACATTACCGTTCAAATAACTTGAAGTGACTCGCTAATGGAGTGCGAACTGACTTGGTTTTTATCATGTTGAAACGCTTTAGCACCTTTTCAACATACCTTTTCTGAGTTACCCAGAGTTTACTTACACTTTTATCTCTATGAATCTCCATACCAAAGATCCTATTAGCAGCCCCTAGGTTCTTTATATCAAACTCAGAACTTAATATAGACTTGAGAAAAGTTATGTCACATGTATTATTCGCAACGATGAGCATGTCATCAATATAAAGCATTAAGAGAATAAGATAATTATTATCAAGAACTTTAAAATAAACACAACAATCATATTCACTTATTGAATGGCGAATTCGTACCATGAAAGAGTCGAAACGCTTGTACCACTGCCTAGGAGATTACTTAAGACCATACAACGATTTCTTAAGCAAGCAAACTTTATCTTCCTTTCCATGCACCTTGAAGCCTTTAGGTTGTTCCATAAAGATTTGTTCCTCCAAATCACCATGAAGAAACGTTGTTTTCACGGCAAGTTGTTCTAGCTACAAATCAAACATGGCTACTAAAGCAAGCAATAGCCTTATTGAAGTATGCTTGACAACCGGAGATAATATTTCATTGTAGTCCACTCCTTCCTTCTGAGCGTAGCCCTTTGCTACCAGCCTAGCCTTGAATCTCTCATATTCCTTTTCTGTTGTTACCTCTTTCTTCCAAAAGATCCACTTGCACTCAATCACTTTCCTTCCATTGAGCCTCTTAACAAGCTCTTAAGTCATATTGTTTTTCAGAGACTCCATCTCCTCCATCATGGTTATCATCCATTTATCACCATATACAGCACTTAGAGCATCTTCGAAGGAGTCGATTACCCTAGTACCGACAGTTAGAGCGAATGCTACCATGTCATCAAAGCCATATCTCACAAGGGCTTTGTGAACACGCTTCTTTCTGCCTTTTGCCAAACTGTAGGGTTCACCATGTGATTGTTGTTGTTCTGATATGTTGCTAGATGATTTTTCCGTTTCTGGTGTTTCAGACTCTTCTAGCTCCACCTGGACTATCGATCTTTCTTCATCACTTTCATTTACTTGCACTTTGTCATCTTGCATGTTGATTGACTTCACCATGTGAGATTCGTCAAACACAACATCCCTGATAAGCACAACCTTATGTGAAATAGGATCCCAAAGCTTGAATCCTTTCTCTTCCTTCTTAAAACTGAGAAAGATGCATCGTTTAGACTTAGTGTCTAATTTAAAACATTTTTCACTTTGCACATGGATATAGGCTGGACATCCGAAGATCCTCATCATAAAGTAATCTACCGGCTTTCATGTCCACATCTCCTTTAGAATTTTACAATCAATCGTTGTAGATGGTGACCTATTAACAATGAAACAGGTCATGTTAACTTGTCTTCGAATCTGCATTCAATCTCATACTACGAGCTCTTTTTAAAAGAGTCATGTTCATCCTCTCAGCCACACCATTTTGCTGAGGAGTTTTTGGTATGGTAAAGTGACATACAATCCCCTATTCTTTACAGAATTCTTGAAATTCTTTAGACTTGTACTTCCCTCCATTATTTGATCTCAAGCATTTCAGTTTTTTTATTGTCTTCATTTCTACCTCTGCTTTCCATTGTTTAAACTTCGTGAATGCTTCACTTTTATGTTTCATGAAGTAGACCCAGACCTTTATTGAGTAATCGTCAATTAATGTAATGAAGTATTATGCCCCACCCTTGGATTTGATTGGTGAAGGCCCTCATACATCAGTGTGTACATAGTCTACTATATCTTTGCTCTTATGAATTGCAGTTTTGAATTTAATCTTGCACTGTTTACCAAAAACACAGTGTTTACAGAAATCCAGTTTGCAGGCTTTGACACCCTTCAATAATTTTCTTTTATGAAGTTTTATCATCCGTCGTTCACTCATATGCCCTAACCGCATGTGCCACAAATTTGTGTCATCTATATTGGACTCAACATCTGTGGTTACAAAAGCTCCTTCTGTAACTGTATTCCCTATCAACCTGTATACATTCCCTGTCATTTAACCTTTCATGACAACCATAGACCCCTTACTAACTTTGATGACTCCACATGTTGTTGTATACTTACAACCATTCAAATCAAGAGCTCCCAAAGATATTAAGTTTTTCTTTAATTGTGGGACATGCCTCACATCTAATAAGATTAATACTATCCCATTAAACATCTTGATTTTGATAGTTCTTATTCCAATAGTTTTGCATATTGCATCGTTCCCCATTAGAACAGACCCACCGCTATATGATTTGTAGGTTTCGAACCAGTTTTTATTTGGACACATATGAAAAGAACAACCAGAATTTAAAATCCAAGAATCAGTAAATTGATTCTTACCTAAGATATAGAGAGAAGATCTACATCATCTCCGTCAGAGCTATCGGCCATGCTAGCTTCATCAGATGTTTTTCCTATTTCTATCCTCTTGATATCTTTCTTTCTTTTTCGCAGTCTCTCTTCATATGACCTTCCTTTTTGCAATCATAGTAAATATACTTGCTCTTCCCCTTCGATTTTGACCGACTTCTGCTTCTAGACCTCATTTGATTTAATCTACCCCTTTCATGACTCTCTTTGTGTTTCAAAAGAAACCCTCTCCTTAAGATTTAATACTGCTACTCTTCTTCCTTGTCTTATTTGACATAAGAGTAGCAGTGACTTCGTCCGTCTCAAGAGTCTCCTTCTCGTACAATAGAGTCGTAACCAGGTGATCGTATGATATTGAAAGCGAAGCTAATAGAAGTACGACATTGTCTTCATCCTCGATTCCAACCTCAAAGCTTACTAACTAGCTTATGATCTGGTTGAACTCGCTGAGATGTTCAAGCAGATCTGTGCCTTCTTCCATCTAAAGAGAATACAATTGCTTCTTCAAGAACAACTTGTTCGTCAAAGATTTCGTCATGTAGATACTATCGAGTTTTGTCAAAACCTCCGGTGCAGTTTCGAGATCCACCACATAACGCAAGGCATCATCTGAGAGATCCAGACGAATCGCACTTACCGTTTTTTTCCTCCATCTCTTGCCACTCTTCATTGTCCATCTTTGTTGGTTTCTTCGATTTCTCTAGCAAAGACTTAGGCAGACCTTGCTGTATCAAATATCATTCATCTTTCGTCGCCAAAGGGTCAAATTGTTCTTTCTATTGAACCTCTTAATGTCATAC